ACTATGTTCATAGCTGCATTATTTGTAATAGCCTGAACTTGGAAGCAACTTAAATGTCCCTCAACTGAAGAATGGATGGAGAAAAATGTGGAGTGCAATAGAGTACTAGTCAGCAAAAAATTAAAAAAAAAAATGGAATCTTGAAATTTACAGGCAAATGGATAGAACTAGAAGAAAACATCCTGAATGAGGTAACCCAGTCACAAAAAGACAAACATGGCATGGACAAACTCGTATATGGATTTTAGACATAGAGTAAAAGACTACCAGACTACAATCCACACCACCAAAGAAGCTAGAATACCAGGAGGACCCTAAGAGAGACATACATGGTTCCCCGGAGAAGGGGAAAGGGACAAGATCTCCCAAGCAAATTGGGTGCATGGAGGAGAGGGGAAAGGAAGTTAGGAGAAAGAGAAGGGGAGGAGAGGAAGGGAGAGAAGGGCATGAGAGAGCAGAAAAATTGACTTGGAAGGAATAGAGGAGAGAAAGAAAAAAGATAGCATAATAGAGGGAGCTATTATAGGTTTTTAAGAGATAGCTGACACTAGGGAAATGTCCAGAGATCTACAAGGATGACCCCACCTAACAATCTAAGCAATAGTGAAGGGGCTACTTTAAATGCCCTTTCCCTATAATAAGATTGATGACTACCTTATATGCCATCCTAGAGCCTTCATCCAGTAGCTGATGGAAGCAGAAGTAGACACCAACAGCTGAACACTGAGCCAAACCCCTGGAATCCAGTTACAGAGAGTGAGAAGTGATGAGAAAAAGGGTCAAGACCAGGCTGCAGAAACCAACAGAAAAGAGCTCACCTGAACAAGGGGAAGCTCATGGACCCCAGACTGATAGCTGAACATGGATGTTAGTTAGAAGGCCTGGATAGTCTATGGTACCTCTGACAATGGAACCAGGATGCATCCCTAGTGCAGCAATGGACTTCAGGAGCCCATTCCACATGGACAGATACTCCGTTGACCTAGACACACGGAGGAGGGCCTAGGCCCTACCCCAAATTACTTGACAAACTTTGATGATCCAGCATGGAAGGCTTCACCCTCCCTGGGGAGTGGATAGAGGATGGGATGGGAGGGTCTGTGGGGGTCATGGGAGGATGGGCAGGAGAAAGAACTGGGATTGATATGTAAAATAAGAAAAAATATTTAGGAAAAAAGAAATACATCAAAGACAGACAACATTAGTAAATGATAACACTTTATCACATAACTTAAATATCTTCTTGCTGGTAAAGGTAAAACACTTCCTAGCTCATCAATGGGTTTAATCACTTACAACATATGAATGGAGGAAAAGCTTTCTAATCTTTAATAAATGTGTTCTAATTGCAAATAAATGCTTCCTTTAGATTTATAAGAAATTTCCTCGAAATCCATGACACTGTTCTTGGATCATTGCTACCAAATAAACAGTTCTAACTTCAAAAATAAAAGTTGGTATTTAGAGAAAATTAAGTCTTATGGGGAGTAAAACTAACAGTAATTTCTCATGATCTGAAATAATAATGTTCTATAAGACTATCATGATCCCTTAATTAACAAGTCCTGGGCACCACAGTGGTAGTGCACACCTTTAATCCCAGCACTTGGGAGGCGGAGGCAGGTGGATCTCAGTGAGTTTGCAGCCAGCCTGGTATACAAAGCAAGTTCTAGGACAGCCAGGACTGTTACACAGAGAAACCCTGTCTCAGAAAACAAAATAAAACATTGAACAAGTCTAGAACCATTGAATGCTAATGGCAAGTCTCTGGCAACAATGACTTTGTCAGTCCATCTGTGGTGATAAATTAATTATGATTTATTAAAGATTGCCTGAGGATTTAGAAAGCAAAGTCAGCCACAAGCCATAGAAGCCAAGTACCTTTAATCCTAGGACTCAGGGTCAAGAGATAGATGGATCTCTGTGAGTTCAAGGCTACCCAGATCTACACAAGATTGAATCAATCTAAAAGAGAATTCTAGATCACACTTTTAATCCTAGCACTAGAGGGGTATAAAAGATGGGAGCAAGTGTTCAGTATGAGGTATTCATTCTCCAGCCATGCTGAGGAGAGCTTACAGTCTGAGGCTTGGTGAGAGCTCATAGAGACAGGATCAGCCCCTTCAACCTGAGATAGGGGTAAGAAGCTAGTGACCAGCTGCCTTGCTTCTCTGATCTTCAGCTTGAAGTTTGAACCCCGATATTAGTGACTGGGTCATTTATTTTTCATGTTACACCCATCTATGCATGCCTCTATTACATGCCAATGTTCCTATTCTACAACCCTTTAATGCAGTTCCTCATGTTGTAGTGACCCCCAACTATAAAATTATTTTCATTGCTACTTCATAACTGTAATTTTGTGAAATGATCATCCAACTCTCAAGGGGTCACAACCCACAGGTTGAGAAACGCTGCTCTTATTGTATGTGTATTTCTGTTTAAAGACGCCCCATATGTTATATATATTACTCGCTGATTCCATCAATAGCACCAAGTCATACCTAAAAGAAGTTTACTGAAAGCACACATTTTCTCTGTTAACAAGGCACACTAGCAGCCGTCTGTGAAGGAAAACTAGATAGAAAGATGTGCAATGCTCAGGAACCATTTGAACAGGAACAGTACCAGAAAGCAGGAAAATATAGGTAAATATGCCACCAGGGTTGTTACAAGGGCATTGGCCTACATTATGAGAGCTGAAACAGCAAAGAAGGCATCACCTTGTTACACCTCAGCTGGCAAGAGACACACTGGGCAGCTCTAACACCCTAAATTATCACCAAAGCTCTATAAGTATTGATTTGGCAATTAGCAATGAATTTTCAAGGCAATTGAACTCAATACAAAATCTACAAATAAGGATAAAATGTAATTACAGTGTAATTGAAGGGAAAATTCTTAATAACAACAAGAAAAGGACCAAACATCAATATTCTTCAATAAGTTCTTTAAAGTTGAATACCATATAACCTACAAAACGGCCCCTTCCAGGACATTTTACACAATGGAAACAAGTGCAATCTGTTCAGTAGTCATTTTGTTTAATATGGTCATTGTCTTTAACAAGATAATATATCTAACTAAGTGAACGCAGTGAAGTGTGGGCTATTCTAAACTGAAACAATTTAAAATCCTCTTGAGCATGGTAAAGGGAGATCGAGGCAATTCTCAACTTTAATGAAAGATGCTCAAGGCCACCATCAAGGTATACATGTATGTTAAACTGCTACAAACATAATGTAATTGGGACCAAATGAAGAAGTGCATCCTCTTGGGATTGTTTGGAAAGCATAATGACGATACTAATACAGGAAAGAGCTTAAAGGATTTGCAAGATGGCAACCAGAGTTATGAAGTTCTGGGCAAAGGGTTAGAATCAAATACAGATATAGGGAAGGTGAAAGCATGGTTCTCATCATTGATGTAAAATGCAGCCAATGTGTTGGCAGAGAGGAGAACTTCAAGGACAATGGATAAATGAAGGAACACAGATCTAAGTAGCCTCGTCTTTCTTCTGGAAACTTCTTGCTTAAATCTTTCCAAAAGTTATTACATAGAGTGATTAAATCTTTCCTTGTTTTTACTTCATTAGCCAGAGTACATATGGAAGCAAGACTCAAGCCTCATTCTTTAGCCTCATCTCTGTCTTCTACCAACATGCCCCAACACACAGTACACCCCCAACATAGAAAAATCAGCCTCCACCAATACTTGCATGTTGGTAATATCACATAGGTAAATATTAATTCGCCAATTGACTTTACAAATACACTAAGCCTTTAATGAACCCTACTTTGTTTACCACAAATACCAAATACAGGTGGTTTCCATGAAGAAAACATATGTATATATGTATGTGTGAAGAATCAGAGACACTGAAATGCTAAAATATTATATCACACACATTTATTGTCTAACTAAAACAAAACAAGTAGTGTCCATCAGAATCTCTAAATTTTGCAATGAAATTTATAGATATGTGAGTATGTTCATAAAATCTGAAATTTCAGACTTAAATTTGGGCTCCATAATTCTTATATTTTTGGTTATGAGACTAGCCTTTAATGACTGAGCCATCTCTCCAGCACTTGGTTCCCTAATTCTAATTGCTTAAACTTAATATACTACTCATTGAGTTCTTAGATTATGTGTTGGTGTTTATAATATGTTACACAGAGTTAAACATTTCTGTATACTCTTGTGAAAAAGCAGGTTTTCTTTATAAAATGACTTAATCATGCCTTAGTTTCCTCTAACTCCACAAAATTATTTTAATTATATATTTTTTAAGAAGTCAATTCTTGCTCTTTAATAACTGCTCATATAGAAATGTCTGTGGAACACAAATTAAATAATATTAAAAACAAGCAAGTGCAACAAAGAATATCACAGGAAAGCCCACAGAATCAACTAACCTGGGCTCATAGGAGTTCAGAGACAGAACCGACAACTATGGAGCCTATATGGGACTGACCTAGGCCCCCTGCATATATGTAACAATTGTGTAGCTTTGTCTAAGTGTGAGACTCCTAACAGTAGAAACAGGGTCTGTCTCCAACTCCTTTGACCACTTTTGAGGGGCTTTTCCTCATACTGGTTGCCTTGTCCAGCCTTAATACAAGGGAAGTGCTTCGCCTTACAGCAACTTGGTATCACATGCTTTGTTGATCTCCATAGGAAGCCTCCACTTTTCTGATTAGAAACAAAGAAATGGATGGGGTGTGGAGGTAGAGGGGAGATGGTGGGGAGCAAACTGGAGGAGAGGAGTGAGGGGAACTTCAATCGGGATGTAAAATAAATAAATTTAATTAATAAAAAATTGTTTTTAAATTTGAGTATAATTCATTTTTAATCACTATAACAGCTACATAGCAGCCAATGGCAAGAAACTTATAAGTCAAATTTTTCTCTATTCATTGCTTCTAGTTGTATTTTCTAATAACAATAGAAATCAAATTTTGAAAGACACATGTTTGCAGTCAAATCTTGGTACTTACTGTTTCAAAACCTCGATGTGGGTGATCAGGAAACCCCCCTGGCCTTCCTCCTTTAAACTCATCAAACAGTAAAAATGGATCCAGATTTTTCAACTGGAATGATAAAAATTGGCCCGTTAGATGTGGTTTTTAAGTCATGTACATGGAAGAGGGGTACATTTATAGACATATCTTACAAAACTCATTGAAGATCGTACAGATAGTGAGCAATCTTCTAAAATGCAAATTACATTGAGAAGGAAACCATGCATACACATAAGGATACATCAAGTACATTGTAACCGACATTTTAAGAGAAGAGCAAAGAGTGAACATTTCATGATTATCTATGATATGTTCAAATATGTCATGATCAGTCTGAAAGAGATTGTTAGCTTCATGAGGTAGGAGTCTATAAAATCAATATCTGAAATGATGTTATGAGTGCTATCCAGGAAAACAACTACACACATATGAGAATGGGTGACATCAAAGAATCTGCTACCAGGGAAGTGGCTCTTGAGCTGAGTCTTTAAGTACATGTTGGAGTTAATCAATCTGAAAGGAGAGAAGGGAGAATGTTCCAGAAAGAAGAGGAGTAAGCAAGATTGGTATGCTTGGCAAAGACTCTGTCCAGCATTCACTGGAATTCCATGTGCACATAAAATTAAATGTCTCTGAATATTCTTTCACAGAAACAGATTTTCTCCACAGTTTTATTTAGTAAGCCCCTAATTTCTTCTATCAACAACTTAATCTCATGTATCTGTATACATACACACACACACATATATATGTATATATATATATATGTATATATATATATATATATATATATATATTTGCTCTTTATTAAAAGTTCAAATAGAAATGTCTGTGGTGATACAAATCAAAAAGAGTAAATACTTAAATTTGAGTATATCTTATTAAAAATATATATTATGTCTCTATAGTATACACAGAATTATGGCAAGAGATGGACAATGGATAGAGATTAAAGTTGTTGATTTCCGAAACAAGTTCTCACGTTGTATCCCAGACTGTCCTTAAACTCTCAGTCTTCCTGCCTCCTAAGTGTTGGGATGAAAGACATGAACCACCACAACTAACTATTGTTCCAATCTTTTTTTTTTTTTTCAGTGGGGGGGTGGAGCTAGAGACAAGGTTTCTCTGTGTACCTTTAGAGCCTGTCCTGGAACTCACTCTGTAGACCATTCTGGCCTCAAACTCACAGAGATGCACCTGCCTCTGCCTTTGCCTCTCATGTGTTGGAATTAAAGGCATGTGTCACCATTGCCCAGCTTATAGTTCAAATCCTAAAGGAATATGGACCTTATCTGAAGGAAACACATTGCAATTAAGAGTTGAGATAATTAGGTTTAGAAAAATTATTCTACAGAAGATGGTGGATATTCAATATTCTGAGCAGGAGCAAGGGTCAGAACTAAGATAATAGCAGTAGTGATGGCGATTCATTGAGTGATTAGGTAGAAATTATGAGGCAAGTAGAAAGACTATCAAGTAACTCCCAAATTTCTTGTCATGGTGCCTGGAAATACAGGAAAGCTATTCAAAAAATCAAGAATATTACAGAAGCAGCAGCCTTAAAATAGTTATGAATTCATTTTAGGTATTGTTGAGTTTGAGATATCTAATATAAATATTATGCATACAAATATTCAGTAGCAATGGCTACTGAAAAATAAATCTCATGGTCAGTCAACAGGTAGAAAAAGCTGTGTTATCATCAATATATATTTATGGTTGTCTTGCTTATTCATTGTCATTTGTTTAGAAATTGTTATCAACCTCTGTGATTAAAGCTGATGGAAGTTTTAATGGAATGGCTTTGAATCTATGGATAGATTAATATTGGTATCTCTTATTTATAAACATGTTATATCTATTTTTTGTTTACTTGTGGGTTGTTTTTTGTGAGTGTTGTTGTTTTGTGGGGGTTTTTTTGTTTTGTTTTTTTGAGATAGGGTTTCTCTGTGTAGCTTTGGAGCCTGTCCTGGAACTCATTCTGTAGACCAAGTTGGCCTCAAACTCACAGAGATCACTCTGCCTCTGCCTCTGCTTCTGCCTCTGCCTCCTGAGTGCTAGGATTAAAGTTGTGCACCATCACTGCCCAGCTATAAACATGTTATATCTATTTAAGTTTTTAAATGTCTTTTAATAAGGAATTATAGTTTTCTTCACAGAGGTTTTGTATCTATTTTAATTTTTCTGCCTAACATACTCTAATGGCACCATAAACTGCACTTAAAATTATATTTTGAACAGGTTGCTGTTGAGAATCACAAATATGAATATATACATGACTTTTGAACACTGCTAAGCACTTACTAATTTTAGTAATCCCCTGGAGCTTCTTTTAAGTTTTTTCTAAGATACTCATTTCATCAGTGTACTTATCAATATGTTTCCCCAATCGTTCATAAAAATAGTTCTTGCTTGAGTTATTTTAAAACTGCAAATTACAATTTTTCTAAGTTTTGCTGATTCCAGCTGGCCTCTGTATATTCTTTCTGGTACTTATGTTAAAACAGCACATTCATGGTCTATCCAAACTACAGACTCTTACCCTGGGACTCATGGGTAGCACACCTAAAGATGGAGATGGGAACACACAGTCCTATTGCAGGAAGGGAGCAAATATTTGAGAGCAATAATCCAACCAACACCCATAAGCAAATAACTCGACCTTTTTTCATAAGCAAATAACCCAGCCTTTTCTCATTTTTAAACCTTGTACTTTCTATTTTTCTCCTAGTGCTGAAGATGGAACTTAGGGACTCATGTACACTACAGAAGTGTTGTGGAATATTACTTTAACTGTGTAAAAGTGTGTCACTTTTGTTTATGCTGCATTTGTTAAATTATGTAAAGATGTGTTGCATTTATTTCGCTTTGCCTGCCTAAGGTTCTTGATTGGTCTAATAAAGAGCTGAATGTCCAATAGCTACACATTAGAAAGGATAGGCAAAGCTAGATGTCAGAGGGAATAAATAGGAGAACTCTAGATTTGAGAGAAGAGGAACGAAAGAAGGAGAAGAGGAGAGAAAGAAGCCAGGCAGCTGCTAGCCAGCCAGACATAGAGACAGCAAGAAAATAAGAAAAGATAAAAAGGTAGATAACGAGAAACAGGTTAATTTAAATTAAAAGAGCTAGCCAGAAATGAGCCTAAGCTAGGCCAAACATTCAAAACTAACAATAAGTCTCTGTTCCATGATCTGGAACCTTTTTGGTGACCCAAAAGAAATAAAAAAAATAGCCTGGTACAAAGAAGCACTCCACCACCAAGCTTGATCACCAACCCTAACTGACACTCTTTTAGCTTCTTCTTTCTAAGCTAGCACCTCTCCAAGTGTTGAGTAGAAACAATGGTAGTAGATGTCATTGTATTGTCCCTGATTTTATACAGCTGTCTATTTAAAGTTTTGTTGCCAAGCAGGCTGTTAATCTCAGATTTCTGGTTTTCATTAGACTCCCTTCATGGGGTTAAGGAGCTGTACTTCCATTTCTTAGTTTATTGAGTTTATCATGGATTTTGAATTACCTAGCTCTTATATATCAACTGAACTAATTATGTATCTTTTTTATCCTTTGTCTCTTAATAGGGATGAAGATGAGAATAAATATTTATTACTCCTTGGTGCCAAAGAAATTCATATGGGCAAATAAACTGCTCTCAAATAAACTATGAAAACACAAAGTTCCCTCTTTTCAGTCTACCCTCGTCACTATCAGCCACCCATAGAACAGTGACTCTTCACTGCTACTGAGAAGTGGCACTGTGCTAGAATGAAAATCTCAAAATGTGGGAGCAGCTTTTTTGCCTGAGGAATGAGTGCAGGGCTAAAAGGCTTTTGAGAGTCATCCCAGAAAACAAAAGCTACGTTACCATCATTGGAGTGAGAAATGTGAAGGGCTCAAAAGGAAGGGAGAAGAGCCACAGGAAGCACCCCATTTTTCTTAAGCACTAGCTGAACAATCCTGAACAAAATGTTGATAGTAACAAGCACACAGAATTGTCAAGAAAGAAATGGAGTACATACTGGAAGCTGCAGGAAAGGTGATCTTGGCGACAAAGCACAGTGCATGGCTGAGATGTATGCTTGTCCTTGTGTTTCATGGATATCAAAACCCTCGAGTAATGAAATTAGATATTTAACTTAGCTAAAGGTATTACTAACAAAGTGTTGGAGGTGTAACATGGTTCCCTTTGACCAGTTGTAGAAAAGTGTAAGAAAAGAGAAATAATACAAACCCAGGATTGTTGATCAAAATAAATATAAATTTGAAAGGTTGGGAAAATGCAGCCTACTTGGTAAAGAATGAGAAGTCGTATCATAAAGCTTGTGGCCAAATAACTATTTCATATAGACATATCTATATAGAATACAAGAACTATTGCCCAAAACAGCAGAAGAAATGGATACCATGTTTTGTCTTAATCCATAAAAGTGCCATCACAAAATATAAAGTAAGTACCTTCAAAGTCACTAAAGTGTATTTCCTTTGGTGCTGGAAGCTCTGAAGTCCAAGACTACGTCAGCACCAGCTGTAGTATCTACTTAAAAATACATCTGATGGTTCATAGGCAATCCATTCTGTTTCCTTACATGATGGCAGGGTTCTGCTAACACAGTGACCTTCCTCATAATGACATTAATCCTAGATAGGCAGATCTCATCCCCATGACATAACAGCCACTTGAATGATAGGCTCGGAAACTTTGATTTGGGGAAGAACACAGGCAATTAAACCATATTAATATTATTTTATTCGCTACACATTGGCTTCCTCCAGTCACCAATCTATGCCATGTGAATACACGCACAAGAAGAAAGTCAATATAAGAGAAGGGCTATAGAATCCAAGTAGCTGATCAAGAAAAGAGTCAGAGGGATGAACTGTTCAACTGGCTAGAAGACGAGCAAGAGGCATGTATAAGAGACACTCCAATAAACAAGAGTATGTTTTCATTAGACTGTTGTACTAAAGTGCTGAAAATTAGTCCTTACTAAACTCTAAGCATTTACCATAGCTTGAGCAACATGCTCAATAAACATTTGCCATCTGTCCACAAGAATAGACTTCTATAAGCACTCTAATTTTCTAAAATGTTTTAAGTAGGTCCCCAATTCAAACACATCTCTCTTTTCCAACTTTTTCCTTCAAATATTTCCAAATCCTTTAGCTGCCAAATTTAAATAGCAGCTTCCAAGAATGTTCTTCAGAACTCCAAACAAAACCTGTGGCCACCAGCCCTCGGGCCTGTAGCAACCCCATAATAAAGCTTCAACGGCCCAGTAGGTTTTGGAAATCAGAAGTGCTGGAAGTGCCTATGAGAAATGGCAGGCCTTTGCAGATAGGACAGATGCTGTGCTTTTCAAATGAAATTCTACTGAGTATAGAATGCTCCTAAATACTCACAAACTCTGGGTGGTGCCTTTGCTACATTCTTTAGCAATTCAGGATAGAATTTTTAGGGTGCATTCCTTTAAAAATGAGGATGGACCATTGATATTTGTTCTTTTGGTTTTGTACTCTTCCTCCTTTCTGTGTCAGAGGACAAGTGGTTGCTATTGCTTCAGCAAATAGCTACTTGATAATATTAATGAATTCTTTTAATGTTCCAATACGATAAGGGGACTTCAATCACATTTTTATCATAGTATCTTCCTGCATCATCCCCCTCCATATCTTTTCATTAATTTGTTAGCTGGCATACAAAATGATGATTTTCATTGTGTTACTTTCATATATCATTATACCGTGTATCTATTCATGTCCGCATTTTCCCTCTTGCTGATCACCTCCTACCCCTGACATAGTTCACCCCTTCAGCATTTGTGTCACATAGAACCCATTGTCCTCTCTTATTCTTGTGTTTCAGAGATGGAAATTGGAACAGTTATGAACAAAATGACATCTGGGTTTCTGTTCAAAATATTTTAAAGGGGAGAAATAGAAGTAGACATTCATTATGCAATGTCTTCTAGTTTTCTTTGTTTCAAATTATCTTCTTTAGTAATTAAATAACCCACGGAGAATGCCCTTCCACTGAATAGTACCTGGTAGAATCAGATAGCATAAAGACAAGGGCCCATGATGATGCGTTTCTCTCCTCCTAGGAGCACAAGGAAACCATCTCCTAACAACATGTTAGTCAGTCATTCAAATTCCATGACTGTCTAGCCTGGTCCATGGATAATTATAGTGAAGATGTGAGCCAGCCCCAGCCCATCTTTTCTTTACTGGTAACCATAGAAAGGCTCACTGTCAGTTCCTCTTCATCACCTACATTGGTAGTGGTAGGAAGGAAAGGAAAGTAAGGAACACATGTGGCAGCTACTAAAACGGGAGCGGTTTTGCCACTTCAATGTAAAAATATCTTTGGAGTCCAAAGTTTCCATTCCTTTAAGACATTAGCCTTGGTGCGTAGACTTCGAAGAGTAACCTTTAATGTAGACAAATGTCTTCATTTCTTCTGGTTAGGAGGTGGGAGTGAGGGGGAGTCTACCTTTCTATAGAATGGGGAGATATGTTAGCAACATCAACAGTCAAAAATAGAGTCTTGAACAAGAGAATAATGGTAGGGCTTATACAGTAAAAGGGGGCATATTTTTTAAATGATGTTCATGAAGAAGTTATAGTAACATGGAAAGTTCTCGTGTCACTATGTTAAGTGAAAAACTTCAGGACACAAAACTGTGTCTTCTATATAATCATCAATAATGTAAAACATAACTGTTTGGAAACACCTTTGTTCTCATTTGTGATTAAACAAAGTTAAATTGTTCCTCTTTCTTTCATTAGGGTTACAAAATACCTGTGACACAAGAGACCTGAATTTGAATAGCATAACAGAGTCTTGAAAAATCTAGGTTTTTCAACGAAGGTTTCTTATACGGGATATAGCATAAAATTCAAAGATGTAAAATTATATTGAGGGGAATTACATCTTTGTTTTCACTAACCTCTGATTTTACTGAATATTTTTGTTTATAGTAAAACACATCAAATGAAATTTAGCATCTTTAAAGCTTTATTTTTTGATTATTATCTGTAGATTCTTGTCTATGTGAGGGTATGTGCATATGAATGCAGGTGCGGTGCCCTCAGAGGCTAGAAGCAAAAGGTCACCCTGCAGCTGGATTACAGGTAGCTGTAAATCACCAGATAAGGGTGCTAGGAATCAAACTAAAGTCCTCTACAAAAGCAGTGCACACCCTTAACAGCCACTAAGCCATCTCCCCTAAGCCAAAGATTTAACATTTTTACACCTGTAAGAACACAGTTTGGTGACATTAAAGCACATTCACATTGTTGTACAACTATCACTGTCATGTCCTGACTAAAATCTAGTGTCTTCTTCAATTGTGAGTAAGCTCAGTCAATTATAATAAATTACCAGTAACTGTAATTCTGGGACTTATAGAAACTAAAGCAATTTTACAACATATTACATCTATGAGTAGGTATGTGAAAATATAGTTTATATTTGAAATTAGGATGTGATTAGATGCATCACTCAAAACTTTTATATAATATATAAATACAAGATGACTAAATCATCCGTAAAAAAAAACTCAACCATGTTATAATATCAAACAATTTTTCTTGGAAATTCATCTATTCTGTTTTGTGCACTTCAAAAGACTGTTTTACAAAGGAATTGATAGGTTTGACAGACCATTAAAGAGATTCACAAGATTAAAAAAAATGTTATGACATTCTCAGCAGATACATTCTTGACTAACAGGCATCTGTAGGTCTCAGAACTCTTTCAAGTTTTTCCATCAATGGTGATATCTAACAGAATATGACATCACCTCCGTCTGGCCCTATGCACTTAGCCATTAAGATAAACTTATTTGTGTATTTTCTTTGACATATGATACATTTTGGATTTTATGAGATATATATGAGTGAGTTCATGTTGGAAAGAAAAATGGCAGGGGCACAAGACAGAAGAAAGACTGATGGAGCTGGCAAGGGAGAAGTGTTTGCTACCTACTGCAATGGCTGATCAGCATCATGCTGGGTGCAATGAGCCAGGCACAGAAGAAAAAAGCAGCTCCTCACTTGTCTGTGGAATCTAAACAAACAGAAAAGCAGACTAGAATGGTGGCTTCCAGAAGCTGAGGCAAGACAATGGAAAGATGTTGGTCAGACAGGAAGAATAAGTTCAAGAAGTCAATAGCACTTGTTAGCTGTAAAATGACAATGAATTATATAATTAAAATTTGCTTAAGGCTAGATTTTTTAATTAATATGTGAAGTAATAAAGATGTTAATTAACAAGTTTTGACCGTGCTGATTAACTAGTTTTGAACATTCCTTGCCATATACAAATATAAAAATATCCTGCTGTACACAATACACATAATCTTTCAATTAAATTTTTAAAATTGAAAACATCTAATGCACCAACAATGTAGAGTAGCACTCACTGAAGAAAGCTAAGACCTTCAAACCATATAAGCAAAGGGGTGAACCTGGCAATTCAAGAGGTTGAAGCAGGAGGATTTAAGTTCAAGGCCAGCCTAGGCAACTTAGTGAAACTCTTGTCTCAAAATAAAACCCAAAAGGAGAACTGTGGACATAAGCTTAATGATAGATTTCTTGCCTAGCATGTGCAAGGGTCTCACTATGTTCAATCTCCAGTACTGGAAAAAAAAAAAAAAAACAAAAACTGATGAACAAACAACTCCATAAACATTTTTTTTCAGACACACTTTTTATCAAAAAGTGGACAAAGTAACCAATACATAATGAGAGGTATAAAGCTTAGCAACAAGTCAGTTTGAAAATTCTAGAGTGGAGTGTAAGAAATCAGTCCTACTTCCCAAAACCTAATCTATCCCCTACAATGCATTTCTTCTCTTGTTCACAATATATAATGTGGGATAGCACTGGAGCCTCTAGCCCTTGACTATGATCACTGTTTGATATCTCTCTGTGCCGCTAAGACTTCTTCCTAAATTCCACATTTTCCCTAGTATTCAAATTTTAAGAAAGTCTCTAATGTTAGAAAAAAAAAAATACATCTAGAGTCACAATCTCTGAGTTCCCTTGTGCTCCTGCGCCCATACCAGAAGAAAACAAGACACATCTCCTAAAGTTCAGCTGCATCTGGTACTCAGAACCTCTCTATCCATACTCCAGAAGCCTCCTTGAAGTTAGGATTGATCACATTGGGTCCCAGTTGTGGAGTTTCATTTTTCTCACTCTGGAACTGCGGTAATTTGAAAGAAAATGACCCCCAAAGGTATTGGCACTACTAGGAGCTATTATGGCTTTGCAGGAGTGTGTCACCGTAAGGGTAGGCTTTGATGTCTCTTTTGCTCAAGCTTCCCTCAGTGTAACTGTCAATCTATTACCTGTAAGACTTAAAACTCTTAGCTATTTCTCCAGCACCACATCTGCCTGCATGCCACCATGCTCCCCGTCATGATGATAGTGGATTGAACCTCTGAAAACTGTAAGTGAGCCACCCTGATTAAATGTTTTTCATATGAAAGTTGCTGTGGTCATGCTGTCTCTTCACAGCAATAGAAACCCTAAGACAGGTGCCCCACAGGGAAGCTCATGACCATCTTGGCCTTTTCTTCCCAAATCCCCTTCAATATCCCACCAGTCCATTCAGAAAGGAAAGCACAAAGTAATCATCCAGCCAGCGTACCTCGGGTCTGCCAATGCTTCTGCGGACACGAGCTCCAACCCCCTCTGGCTGCTCCCGGCTGAGCACTGAGAGAGTAACCTTCTTAGAGGATCCCATTTTGAAGTTTATAAAGAATGTGCTGGTGTTGAGCTGTAGAGGATAGAGGGCAATATGAAGGACAACAAAAGAAATCCCAATGGAGGAAATATCTACAGACTCTAAACTAAGGATATTAACATTAGATTTGTCCCAAATTCTAACAGCATTAAGTTATTAAGTACTTACTATGAATAGGGCCTAGATTAGGTGATTGTTAAAACACAGTGATGATGAACATGTATTAGTATTTACTAGGTATCCGAGACCCATTATTAGCAGTTTCCTCTTGTAACCCTGCAGTCATCTTGTACAAAGGTTTGGCAGAACTGAAGAGAAATATCTAAGGAGCATCTTTTATGCTTTGGTTCAGTGGCATCTCTTGACCTCCTATACCACACACACTCTCTTCAGTGGCCACCCTATGAGGTATCATGGAAGATGGAAGTGGGGGTTCTTTTGGTGACACTGGAAGAGAAAAAACTAGAGGTATGTGATTCTCACCAGAATATGATGGTGCTGGCACTGAGAGAGATCCTCAAGGATGAAAGAATTCAATTACTCATCTATCTCTAAAGTCATTGGACATTAAAAAAGCATTCCTTAGTAGTTTCAGGAATGTATACAATGTGGTATTTTTAAATCATATCAACCCCTTATTCCCCCTCCAATTCCTTTCAGACCCCCATCACATCTCACTCCCAGCTCCATGCTGTCTTTTCCATACCCTACTGAGTCTAAGTGGTTCTAGCCTTGTATACATGGATGTTGGAGCATCTACTGAAGTATGGCATCCTTACAGGGACCATTTTCCTGAAGAATACTGACACTCCCTACCCAGCAGCCTTCAACTGCCAAGTTTCTAAGTTAGGGGTAGGACTTCACAAACTCTCTTCCTATGTGTGTTGGAATTTTGACTGGCTTGATCTTATGTAGGTAATTTTTTAGGCAGAAAAATATTTGCACTTCCTAAAAATGTTCTCTGAAGCACAGACAAATTATGTATGAACTGCCCCTGGCAAGGAAACTCAGGATTCAGGAACAACCTATATACCACATTTATTATTCAAGAGTGTTTCATTATTTATTGAAGAAGTCTTAAGTTCCAGAGACCTACAAGACTGACCCCAACTAACATTTGAGCAATAGTGGAAAGGCTACCATAAACGCCCTTCCCTGATAATGAGATCAATGACTAACTTATCCACCATCATAGAGCCCTCATCTAGTACCTGATGGAAACAGAAGCAAACTCCCACAACTAAACACTGAGCCGAACTGGAATCTAGATGCAGGCAGGGAGGACACAACCAGGCTATAGAAACACATAGAGACAGCTAACCTGAACAAAGAGGAGCTAACAGGCCCCCAGAATGATATCTGGGAATCCAGCATGGGACGAACTCAGACCCGTTGAATATGTGTCTCAGCCAGAAGGCCTGAGCAGTCTAAGGGACCTCAGACAGTGGAACCAGGAAGTATTCCTGGTGCACAAAAGGACCTTGTGGGCACATCTCCCATGGATGGATACTGCCTTAACCTAGAGACAGGAGAGAAGTCCTAGTCCCTACTTCAAATAACTTGACAGATTCAGATGACCCCTCCTGGAGGGCATCACCCTACATGTGGAGTGGGGGGGATGGGAGGGGAAGGTGGTCTGGTGCATGTGAGGGTGGGAGAGAGGGAAAGATGGAGGGAGGGAGGAAGGGAGGGAGAAGGGAGGAAGAGGGAACTAGGATCGATATGTAAAATAAAAATAAAAAATAATTTTAAGAAAAAAGAAGTCTAAGTTCTAACCATGGAAATACCTCAGAACAGATACAATCAAATAATCAAATAATCCTAAATCCTCAGATCTGTTCACCACGTGAGTGCTAACCACTCCTTCAAAGAGTCCTACTGCAACCAAGTGAAGGTGTCTTGAGCTGGACACCTCAGGTTTATCTCTCAGCTTTGTCACATTTCATCCTCCTTTCACTTGGAACTCTCTGTGCCTCAGCTTTTCCATCTATAAAATGGTATTAAGAAATAGCTACCTCAGCTGGGCAGTGGTGGCGAACACTTTTAATTCCAGTACTTGGAAGGCAGAGGCAGGCAGATTTCTGTGAGTTCGGGGCCAGCCTGCTCTACAGAGCAAGTTCCAGGCCAGCCAAGAACAGCTAATGCTGCACAGAGAAAGGGCAAGATCGATCTACCTCGAAGAGTGCTATAGGGAAGTGAGCTGCTCTTGTTTGTAGGGTTGCTACACAGAAGGACCCTCCAGTTAGTGAAGGCAGATCCTAAAATTGATCCTCTCTAGCAGATAATCAAAATACACCTATTGGGCCATGAAATGTAAGGTACAGAAACAAACTTCTGAATACAGGTCTGTCATCATCAAGACATATGCGACTAGTAAGTAGTGTTTGCCTTCACCTAAGTTTTCTGGGTCCTTCCAGACTCCCTCATTTAGATACACACATGAACAAGGATGAGACAGTTAGCTAATTACAGTGTTTTGTCTGGAGAAAAACCAAGCTGTGTTCCCTTTCACCAAATCTCGGTGTTATTTAAGCATCTCCCTCCCTCAACTCCCCTAGGAGTCAGTAGGAGGCTGGGAAAGGAAGCATCATGAAAATTGGTCCCCGGCATCTCTGCCAAACACACACACACACACACACACACACACATCTCCTCCCCCACTAAACACACAAGCACACAACACACAATTGGTCCGGGCATCTCCACCAAACACACACACCACCGGCACACACCACCGGCATCTCCTCCCCCACTAACATAAACACACAAGCACACGTCACCCTCGCGGGGGATGGGAAGGTCCCCAGACCACTCACTCTGCTGTAGCTCAGGCCCAGGAGGGACGCCACTGCCAGCAGCACCTAGAGTCTCCTCAGCAGCGTCAGGGCCACAGCGTCAGGGACAAGGGCGTAGGGAAGAAGGCTTTGCAGAGCCCCGGGTTGTCAGTCAGAGTGACTCAGCACTTCCATGTGGGCCTCGGGGAGGCGGGAGTCTCTAGGTCTCATGCGCCTTAGACCGGGTGACACTCCCTTTATTTACCCTAGGTTTGGATTCTCTGACTCCGCCTCACTGGGTCTGCCTTTGAGCTTCTACCCAAGGAGTGAAGTGCACCCCAGCCTCTTGGGGGCGCGCTGTTCCCCCCATGTGTGGAATGCTCCTGTGCTCTGCATACCCCCAGATTCACCTGGAAAACCTGTTTTCTCTCCAGTCAGTTTGTCACCCCACTCGTTGGCTCTGCGGACAAGAATGTTTCCAAACCACTTGTCCAGTTTTGGGCAAGTGACTCAGCCTCTCTGTGCATCTGGTTCCTAGTGAAGTGAGTGTGGTGAAGATGATACTACCAACATTGCAGGGTTGTAAAGAGAACAAAATGAGCCTGCCTCCTCTTGAAAGACCCCCAAGAGACCCCAAGAGTTTGGAGCCTGTCAGGGGGAAGGCCCTTGCCCCCAAGAGATGAGACCAGACCACTGGATGCAAGTGCAAGAGGTTATTTATTGTTTACACAGGTACCTGTGGACGCTTCAGTCTTTCGGGGGACTGAGCGTGCCGAGGTTAAAACTCAGGCAGTTTATATAGGGTTGGGGTGGCAAGAAGCAGGCTTATAGAAGCAGAAGCATGGCTACAGGGATTTCATTGTTTCATCTAAATGTAGCAGTTAACCAAGGACAGTTGGTTATTCGGGTTGGGCACAAAGAATACAAAGAATTCAGTTATGACTATCTCAGCACTCTGGTGGTCTCCATAGAATGCTCCCAGGACCTTTTGTTCCTGCTGACCTTGCTTTGGTCCAAGCTGCAGACCACAGATATCTGGTTGGCATTGGATGAGAGCAGCACCTGGTTTCCTCCTATACTTTTCCCATAACTTGACCTTGGCAAATTAGCAAGAGCAATTCAAACAGGCAATAAGCAAAGTGGGGTCTTTCACTCTTAGGTGCTACACAGTTGTTTCTCATAAATAGGCTTCTTGCTGTTTGCCAATGAGAACGGGCCAGGGGCAGAGTAGAAGCAAGAGCCAAAACATCTCTCTTTCCTTTTTTTTTTTTTTTTAAAGAAGGCACACTCTAATAGGTAGGCATACGATTAAGGGCTTGGATTTTATTAAGATATAGGAAGAAGGCATTGGAGAGTTGCCCTCAAGAATATATATATATATATATATATATATATATATATATATATATTCTGTGAAGACTGCTTTAGTTTGCTTTTTGTAGCCAGAAAGCAGCCATAGACAACACTTACTGAGTATGGCTAGGTTTCAATAAAAATTTTATTACAGATAATGAAATTTGAATTCATAAGATTATGTTTTGAATTCATACAATTTTCACTTATGAATTAATTCTTTTGACTTTTACATTTTTCCTGGGCTCTTCCATCAATGAGGTGGAACCTCATCCTGCCTACCTTAAGTGATTCAAAGCCAAATGAGTAATACATATAAACATCAAACCTGCCATGGACTAATAAAGTATTGGTACTTGTCATCAATATAATTATTTCTGAAACTGCATCCATATAAAATAAAAGTATGAACACTCTATATGGAACATTGCAGAACCTATAAATAATCTTCCATTCCCTCAACTAGTGCAACATTCAACCAGGTGCTTAGGCTTGGAGTACAAGATTTCCCCTCACACTCTTTCAGCTCAAAAGGCCAAGGATTTGGATTTCTAACATCTCATAGTGCATCCAAACCTTCCCATTTGGAAAGCCACTATCCATCTGCCCCAATCAGCACCCACTCTTCCTGCCTTCAGGTTCACCACTGGCCAAACCATTTTCCAAGTGGCAGACAAATAGAAAACCAATGCCTGAAACCGTTAGTGGCTTCTCACTGAATTCAGTAGAAAGTTCTTTGATGTCTTTGAACTGGCCTCACCCTTTAACCCACTTGTGCAGGGGCTGGGAAGGAACTACACACATATGTCTTGTTAGTTTGTGGGCCTGTCTAGAACTTTCTTTCCTCATTTTCACTTCACCTTTTAGCTCTTAACTTCTGTCAGGCTCTGTGGACAACCTTTGGTAGTTGTTTCCTTGAGTCTAGGAGAGACTTTCTATCAGAAAAACACCTACATATTGTTTCTTAAAGCCATTGTTGATCAGCTCTTGGAAGATCCAATTTTCCTACAATGACTTGAACAGAAGTTTCTTTCTCATAGGTTTGTTCTAAAATGTGGCCCAACACTTTACTGAATGAGCAATTTACTCCTCTTGCTCTTGGGTCTATGCAGATCTTGTGGCTGACATTTCTGAGAGAGGCTTTTAAATGACCTGTCAGTTGTCATATATGTTTTATGGAAACCAGTTGCTCTTTGAGAGTGATGACCTTGCTGGGCATCTGCCTTTAATCCCAGCACTCAGGAGGCAGAGGCAGGTGGATCTTTGTGAATTGAGTCCAGCCTGGTCTACAGAACTAGTTCCAAAACAGCTAAGGCTACACAAAGAAACCCCGGTCTCAAACAAAACAAAACAAAACAAAAACAAACAAAAAAGGGTGATTACCTTGAGGTCACCATTTTGGAAGAAGCCCAGGCTCCATAGAAAAGAGGCCTTTCCTTGAAGGTAGACACACAATGGGGAAAAAATGAAGTACAAGACACAAATCACCTTGAAGGTGGATCTTCCAGCCCAAGCTGCACCAGCCAATGCCACATGGACACAATATGAACACCCAACATTGTTCTTCCTAACTTCCTAATCCACAAAGTCAAGTGTTTTTAAGCTTAACAGTTGCATGGGTAGTTTGCTTCATAAAAAATGTATATCTGGAAAAATGTTCTCATGTCACAGGAGAAAAGAAATTGATTTTCAAAATGGAGGCTAGTGACAAACCTTGCAGAAAGTAGCTATGTCCATCTAAGTCATTGTGAAGACAACCAGCCATTACTAAACTTGGATTTAGAGATTAAAGTTTTGCATCCCTCTTATGGGCCATAGCATATGCCTCCAAAGTACAGATGTGCCAGGGGAAGGGCTCCTCTATTACAAATATCATTTAATGAGACTAGAACTTCAGGGAGAATGGTGATGCTTCAGTGGACACCTTTTTGGAAATTTCTCTGGAATTCAAAAACTCCTCCACCTCTGTATCCAGAGGACATAGTGACATTTCTCAAAGTAGAAGACAAATTCAGGAGCGTGTGTAGTCACAGCAGAGCAGAGAAATTCTATTTGTAGTCCTTTCAGGAAATGGGGGGTGAGGAAGGGAGGGGAGAGGGAAAAAGGAAAGGAGAGAGGGAGGGGAGGAGGGAGGGAGGAAAGGAAGGAGGGAAGGAGGGAGGAAAGGAGGGAGGGAGTGAGCACTTCTGAAAAGCTAGAAGGTTAAAAGGGAAAAACAAAGATGGAAGGGGGGAGAATTTTTGCAAATGGAGTAGAGTAGAAGCCATACAATGCTTTACTATGAACAGAGTCTACCTTAGAGGTGAGAAGTGTAACCCTGTGCATTTGAACTCTGAGCCTTCTTTACCTTGTCATTTGAAATCGAATCAGGATGTGGAGCAGGCAGCTGGATATGTGACCACCAATCACTTTTGGAACTCTGAGCAACATATTCTGATACAGCAAAGAGCAAAGCCTTCCCTAAATGACTACTATAATCTTTAAAGAAACTCATATTATCAACACATGTTTTTGCATGTCTACCCCATCACTTTGTAATAGTTCTGTAACAGGATTGTACGACCTCAAACTCACTGTGCAGCCAACGATGACTTTGAAATCTGATCCTCCTTTCTCTACCTCCTGAGTGTTGAAAACACAGGCTTAATACAGCATGCTTGATTGATGCACTTAATGAAGCTCCAGGCTTTGTACAATCACTCTCCCAAATGAGCTACAGCCGTAGCCCAAATTTTGTCTTTTATTCAACATAATGATTTTCATCTTTGTAACATTGAACATCTTTCCAAGGTATTATTTCATACAAGTGTATGGTAATCTTAAACGCTTCATCATTTGCAGTTGTTTTTTTATTTTGAGATATCAACACAAATGCTCCTGCTTGTAGGTTTTCATAAACTGCTTTCCAGGGCAACAAAGCTTCTATTCATTAAAGGGCCAGGATCTCTGGAATATTCCATGTTAGAAATTCAGTCATTAACCCAGAAAATCAGTTGGCTTTAAGTCAAGGGCTAATTATTTCCCATGCACCAGTGTATGGAGGCCAGTATTTTGGGGGGCAGTTCAAGATATCCAGTTATATCCAGCAAAGGTGGGTGCATGAGGGTTCCACCTCCACCAGGCTGAGCAAATTTTCACAGACATGGCAGGCTCTGACCCTGAAGCTGCATTGGTGTTCCTCCCTGACTTCTCTCTGGGGTTCTGCAAAAAATGCCAGACAAAAGCGATTTAGGATCCTCTCTTTGGAGCCACAGAAAATTCCTAGAATCCAACACAAGCAAAACACTCTTGGCCCTGAAAGGCTAATTCATCTCTGAACCAGAAAAGCAGGGAAATGTAGGTGAATGAGTCCCCTGATACTTACTTTAATTACCCTGATAACCTTTCTCAGCTTTCAACTTTTGTAAAAGTGTGTCTTCTGACCAAAAGAAGATGGCTGTGTGGACCACAGCATTGAAGTGAAGGTCAAATCTAATGTTTTAATAACTTCTACTTAATAGTGTGAATGCTGGGATGTTTACAAATGGCATATACTGATGTCTACAACTTACATTCAATGCACCAATAATAATAACAATAATAATATCATGGCTGATGGGCAGATAAAGTCATGGCAAAGCCAATGTCAAGAAAATGTTAGTGTTAGTGGTAGAATGTAGGTGGTGAATGTTTTGACTTCTTTTAACCTTTCTCTATACTATTTTTCATGATAAAAATTTTATTTAAAAATTAAAATCAAATAAGAAGCAAAACTGGAAAACACCCATAAAATTACTCCTCTC